TACAGTTAACTGACTGTATAGTAACAGAGGTCGATGGTTCGGCATCGATAATAGAAAAGTACACAATGTGTCAGGAACTTCTATCAAGTTAAGATAACTTGTTTCCGTAATGCTCCGTTTTAATCCGTTTGAAGCCGATGCTCATGTGAATATTACTTAAAGGTTCAGTCCGTACCGCGAAGAAAACACTACACTTTACATTCACAAAGATCACCTGGTTAACCTTGTTAAGTGAAATAATACGCCTAAAACGCTAATTAACCTTTGGAGCCGAAGCTCTTTCAAATTAAATTTGAGATTTCAGTCCGTACCGCGAAGAAAACACTACACTTTACATTCACAAAGATCACCTGGTTAACCTTGTTAAGTGAAATAATACGCCTAAAACGCTAATTAACCTTTGGAGCCGAAGCTCTTTCAAATTAAATTTGAGATTTCAGTCCGTACCGCGAAGAAAACACTACACTTCACCGTTACAAAGATCAATTCGTTAACGCTGTTTAAGGAAATAATCGCGGTTTATTTTGAGAATCATAAGAGACCCATCTGTGGGTTCTTGAGTAAGGTTCTATATTCAGAGGTAAAAACTGATTATTTTGATAAGTGTTGCTTCATTTGATTTATGAAAAAACATGTCTGTTTATGACATGCTGTACACGTACCAAATATGTCCTTCTTCAACCGTGAGGATGGATTCAAATTTACTGCATGGTAATAAATTTTATATTATCGTATTTCATTATATGTGTAAATCAGAAGGCAAAATGTGAGGTGTTTACATTGTGATGTTGACTCTGGAAATTGTACAACTGAAGATCACTTCACCATATTTCAATATGATTTGGACAGCGTTGCTATTTTGTTTTGATACTACAAGAGCGCAAATATTGTTTGTTTTGCTTACGTAGTGGATAACCGATGCGAAGTGGCTGTAGAAATTAATGACGTTGCGTGCAGGCTTCTAATTTAATAACAGAAAGTGGCGGTAGTTGATAATCAAGTTCTACGAATTTTTATATCTGCTCTGTGTAAGCAATTTTATGTCGGTTTTACAACTTCAGCTCACTGTGCCCCCAAGACTGAACAACTTGCATATTAAATTAAATGAGTAACTGAAATTGAACTTTTTATTACGTAATTACGGCACTGAAGTTTATCTGGAAGTGATTATAAAATTGTACATGCTTGTCGTGAAACCAGAATCTCAGACAGATTTATACGAGGTGCGATCGGAAAGTTTCAAGACTGTGTCAATAGAGGGCGAACCGAATGTAGTACGAGCTTCTGCCGCTAGGGGGTGCGGCCTACATTCATAGTGAATCAGTGTGCCAGCCGGCATCATCGTATTAGCATTTGTTTCTTAGTTACGGGCGTTTTGGTAGTGCATTACACCGACCCTCCTGCGATTTCGCAATGGCGGATTTTCATGAACAAATCAAATTTTGCCAAAGACTCGCCAAAACGGCTACGGAAACCTATGAAATGCTAAAGCAAGCATTTGGGGAGTCCGCAATGGGTCGTGCACAAACTTTTGTGTGGCATTCACGTTTTAAAAATGGCCGAACCTCTGTCGATGATGACGAGCGTTCTGCACGACCATCTTCGAAAACAACGCCCGGAAATGTTACGAAGATTCGGCAGGCCAGTCACGAAGATCGACGTCGTACCATCAACGACTTGTGCGACATTATTGGGATAGGCTATGGGACCTGTCAGCTGATTCTAAAGGAAGAACCCCCCATGCGACGCATCCTGTCTGAGGAATATAAGCAGAATCGACTTCTCGTTTGTCAGGAACTCAAAGATCTTGCAAGAACCGACCCCAACTTCCTTTCTAAGCTCCGTGTGACTTCTTCCTCTTCCCAAAGATGAAAATTCAGCTAAAGGGAAGGAGATTTGAGACGATAGAAGAGATTCAGGCAGAATCGCAGATGGTGCTTGACAGGCTGACAAAGAAAGATTTCCAGGGATGCTTCCAGGCTTGGCAGCGGCGCTGGGATCGTTGTGTTCACTCCCAGGGGAACTACTTCGAGGGTGATGGATGAATGTAATACCTGAGATAAGTGTACGGGTTGTTATACGCGCAGTCTGGAAACCTTTCGATCGCACCTCGTACTACACAGCGCAACAAACCAGAAGACAGAAATCTTCATACTCACCGCTGTGAAAACCT